CCTTCCTCTCCTCCTTCTTTTCTCCCATTTCCATTTCCCGTTCTCAGCCCAGCTGCCATTCCCAATTTCTTCGTTCCTCTCCCGTCCGTCCAGTCCAGCTTTGCTTCTTTTTTTGATACCCATTTTATTTGTTTCTGATTGTCCGGCCGCGCCATGGACAAGCAACAGCTGGCGGCGCTCCTTGTCGAGTCGCAATTGCGTAGGTTTCCCTTCCCGTTTTCCCTCGGTTTGCCTGCGTGCATTCGCTGACTTTCCCCCCCTACCCAGCCGACACACAGAGGATCAAGGAGGTCACTGCGGAGCTGCAGAAGAACTACTACTCCCACCCCGAGTCTCTCCTGCTCCTGATCGAGCTCATCGCCACACATGACAACGTCGGCGTGCGGCAGCAGGCTGCCATCCAGGCGGCCCGACTGATACCCAAGCACTGGGAGAAGGTGTCCAAGGATCACAAGGCCGCCGTAAGGCAACACCTTGTCGAGGCCACCATGAAGGAGCAGAACCCCTCGGTCCGCCATGCCGACTCCCGCGTTATTGCCGTCATCGCGACGCTCGACTTCGAGGACGGTGACTGGCCCGAGCTGCTCCCCGCTCTCGTCAACCTGGCCAGCAACACCGACGTCAGCCAGCGCGAGGTTGGATCCTACATCATCTTCAGCTTGCTGGAGGCCAACCCCACCTACTTCGGCGAGCACGTCCAGAAGATGCTCCAGCTGTTCAGCCACACCATCCAGGACCCCCAGAGTGCCGATGTCCGCATCAACACCATGATGTCCATCGGCGCCATGCTCCTGATGTTCGAGCCCGATGAGGATGAGGAGGCCGTCGCCGCCCTCCAGACCCTTGTCCCCCCTATGGTCGAGGTTCTCAAGGCCGCCGTCGAGGCGGGCGACGAGGAGAAGACCGGCCAGGCCTTCGAGGTCTTCCAGCAGTTCCTGGCCTACGAGTCGGCCCTGCTCGGAGCCTACCTCAAGGATCTTGTCCAGTTCATGATCGACTTGTCCGCAAACACCAAGGCAGATGAGGATGTCCGGTCACAAGCTCTCTCCTTCCTCGCCCAGACTGTCCGTTACCGCCGCATGAAGATTCAGGGCATGCAGGGCATGGGCCAGCAGCTCACCCTCAAGAGCATGGTCATCCTGACCGAGATCGACGATGACGAGGACGAGGACGAGATGGGCCCCGCGAGATCTGCTCTTGCCCTGCTCGACCAGCTCGCCAATGACCTGCCCCCCCGTCAGGTCATCGTTCCCCTCCTGGATGCACTCCCCAAGTTTGCCACCTCGGAGGATGTCGGATACAAGAAGGCCGCTGCGCTTTCGCTCGGTACCGTTGTCGAGGGTGCGCCAGACTTCATCGCCTCGCAGATCAAGACCATCATGCCCCACGTCATCAACCTTCTCAACGATGCCGATGTTGGCGTCAGACACACTGCCCTGATCGGTCTTGCCCGCCTGGCCGACGATATCGCCGAGGAGTTGTCTCCTTACAACGAGGCCCTCATGACGGCCCTTGTTAAGAACTTGCAGGCTGCCATGACCGGAAGCCAGGACCCCAAGCTGGCAAGGAAGAATGTCGAGGTCATCCGCTCTGTTTGCGGTGCTCTCGACTCTATGTCCGATGGTCTGGACGCCGAGTTCATGGCCAAGTATGCCGGCGAGCTGGTTGACAACATTGGTGCCCTGGTTGCCCACGATGACTACAAGGTCAAGGTTGCTGCCGCTGGAGCTCTTGGCGCCATTGCCGAGTCTCTCGGCGAGGAGTTCAAGCCCTACTTCGAGAAGACAATGCACGCTCTTGGAGTCTACCTCACGGTCAAGGAGTCCGAGGACGATCTTTCCCTGCGCAGCGGAATCTGCGACTCCATGGGCCGCATTGCCTCCGCCGTTGGACCACAGACCTTCCAGCCTTACGTCGTCGACCTCATGGCCGCCAGCGAGGAGGCCCTGCACCTCGATAACCCCAGACTCAGAGAAAGCAGCTTCATCCTGTGGAGCTCTTTGGCCAAGGTCTACGAGAAGGAATTTGCTCCTTTCCTCCCTGGCGTCTTCAAGGGTCTCTTCTCCAGCCTCGAGCTCGAGGAGGAAGAGATTACTCTCCAGCTCACGGAGGCCGAGAAGGACATCATCGGCACCACCGAAGAGGTCATCACCGCTGGCAAGAAGATCAAGATCCACAAGACCAACGAGGATGAGGATGAGATGGATGACGAGGAGGAAGAGGAGGACTGGGAAGATATCGGTGTTTCCCCCGAGGCATTGGAGAAGGAGGTTGCCATTGAGATTCTGGGCGACATCATCACCCATGCCTGCAGTGGAGCCGAGATCAAGCAGTACCTCGAGGCCGCGGTTGAGATGATCACTCCTCTCGCCGAACACTCGTACGACGGATGCCGCAAGGCTACCATCGCCACTCTCTGGCGCGCTTATGCTCGCGTGTGGCAGCTCATGGAGGAGGAGACCGGCTCCAGCTGGGCTCCTGGCCTTCCCCTGAAGCAGCCCCCGACTGTCACCCTGGTCAAGCTTGGTGAGATTGTCTCGCAGGCCACTCTCCAGGTTTGGAACGAGGAAGCCGATCGGTAAGACATACTTCCTGTTCCCCCACCGACCTCCACATACTATGATGAGCACTTCGCGTTATCCCAGCTCACTCAGAGACAAATTTATTTGTCGTTGCTGAGAACACGTTTGATCTACTTCTGATTACCCACCCCTTTACTTCCTCTCTATGACCACATCTTTTGGAGACCTGTTGCTAATGGATTCAAAGTTCTGTCGTCACCGAAATCAACAGAAATGTTGCTGCCACTCTCAAGACCTGTGGCCCCGCCATCCTTGCCCAGAAGGACATGATGAAGGAGATCGTCACCATTCTGTCCACCATCATCACTCGCTCTCATCCTTGCCAGCAAGACCTTGGCGATGAGGATGAGGAACAGGAGGTCGAGGGCTCGTCCGAGTACGATTGGCTCGTCATTGACACCGCTCTCGACGTTGTGATCGGCCTGGCTGTTGCCCTTGGACCCTCTTTCGCCGAGTTGTGGAAGGTCTTTGAGAAGCCGATCCTCAGGTTCGCTTCTTCTGAGTCCGAGAACATCGAGCGATCCACCGGCGTCGGTGTCATTGCTGAGTGCGCCGCCAACATGGAGGCTGGTGTGACCCCGTACACCTCCAAGCTCCTCACTCTGCTTCTCAAGCGTCTGTCCGACCAGGACCAGGAGACCAAGAGCAACGCCGCCTATGCTACTGGCCAGCTGATCTACAACTCCACCGACAGCGGCACCTATCTGCGCCACTACCCCACCATCCTCCAGAAGCTGGAGCCCATGCTGCAGATCCAGGATGCTCGCATCAAGGACAACGCCGCTGGCTGCCTTTGCCGCATTATCATGGCCCACCCCGACCAGGTCCCGATTCCCAGCGTCCTGCCTGCCTTGGTCGGCCTTCTGCCCTTGAAGGATGACCATGAGGAGAACTCGCCCGTCTTCCAGTGCCTCTTCAAGCTCTATGAAGCCAACGAGCCCACGATCCAGGAGCTGACCCCCAAGTTGATCCCCATTCTCGAGGTGGTGCTCAGCCCCCCGCTTGAGCAGCTCGATGATGACACCCGCGAGATTGTGCGTCGCATTGTCTACCTCCTCTTCACTGCCAAGCCCGACCTGTTTGCCAGCCACCCGAACGTGTTGAAGCTTGCCGGTGTGCAATAAGTGGGCGAGAGTATGGAGTGTTGTCGGACTGCATAGCATGGAACGGGCGGCGGGATGGTTTTGCTAGGGATTCAATCTGCATGACAAACACATGAGTTAGGACCTGATGATTATAAAAACGATGGACATAATGAAGGGGACTGGGCTGCCTACCCCAGTCACATGAATATAGAGGCGCGCTGGAATGCGGTATCGATGCAATCAATCAAGCACGGAATTTTGTCTTTTTCACCACACTGCCTCTGACCACTTTTATGTGCGCTTGAACCTTAGCCGGTCGTTGCGTTCATGAGGCTTTGCGCGGCACTGGCCGTTGCCGGTGTTTACGAAAGGGGGTAGTTATTTCCTCACTGCCCGGTTTTTGAACATGCGACATCATCCGGCATATACCGGCTTTGCCCGGGTTGAGATTTCGGATCTCGGAATTATCACTGTCCTCCAGCCTGTTATGGATCTGCTCTTTTCTGCTGATATCTAACCCTTTATTATCTTGTATCGTCGGTGTGGCATTCGCCAATGCGCAGTGTTCACACGCCCAATCGAACTCTCAGCTGAATATTTTGCACCTTGTATTCCGGTGATTATAAGTACGTGATGTGCGTGCCTAGTTCAACGCTAGATAAATAGATGTACGATGGTGAAAATTCTGCTTGCGTTTACATGTAGTGTTGTGTTGTCTTGTTTTGAGAAAAAGAAAATCGGACTTGTGCTAACCAAATAAATATATTAGGTATTAACCGTGATAAATGGATTTAGGGCGGTCTTACGTACGGGTTCGTTGTTGAGTTCGCCTCTGTCGAGGATAGAGCGTCTTACCTTGAGAAGGACCCGGCGCATCTGGGTTTCATCGCGGATGTGCACGGGTTGGTGGCAAAGGCTGTTTCTTGTTTTGGACTTTGCGGATGGGGGTGTTTTGAGGGTAGTTATCATGCGTTCAAGGACGGGGATTTAAGACACGCCTGAATTGGTGGATAAGCATGCAGGAGAGTAGTGAATGAGTAAGTACCCGCAGAAGAAGATTCCAAGGTGGAGAGAAAGAAAATTGTTTGACCGTCTTCAATCTCTGCACGACCGTGTGCCTGTATCCAGCGGTCAAGTATTGGATTAGGCATGTCACGAGTTAATGCCACCCTAGTAATTGCATGGGGCCGAAGCTGTGTTTTTGTGGATTGGGTGGTGGAAGTTACTTCTCCTTTCCTCCTAGGGAGCGGGGGAAGAAATAGCAATAAATCACCGGACAAAAGGAATTTGTCGTCAATATCGGACGACTTGAAGAGCAAAAAGAGTGTTTTCATGCCCACGTCCAGAGTCGAACTGAAGACCTCATCATTACTAGTGATGCGCTCTACCACTGAGCTACGCGGGCAGATGTGGTATTTCTTGTTAGCAAGTTGAATTATGGAACCTATTACCTACCGTAAGTGGGGCGAGGTCGCTTCGCTATTGAAAAATTCTCAAGTACCGTTACCATGGTCCATTTATGCCATTGCCGTGCTTGCTCCTTTGTCAACTCTCTTTTTTTTCTTACTTTCTCACGGAACATCAACTTGGCGTCGTTATGAGAACGGTGTATCGAGTTTCATTCCTATTTCCGAAAAATCCGGATTGTCTAATCTCGTTCTTGCCCTGCCTGTTTGCTGTGATTCTTTCTTCCCTTTTTACGTTTTCTAACTACTGCTTTGCTTGTTATTCGTTCATAACTTGGTTGAAGCCACTCCCCCTCTTTAAGTTTCGTTTTGCCTGTCAAGATGGCATCCAGATGGATCAGCCTGATCATGTTCAGGCATGTATAACCAGTAATGAAGTCGAGGTTGATAAAACAGGCCACGAGCTTGGGCTGCGGTAACTATACGTTTTCAACCACATATTGAATAGGAAAGATCAAACGGGATCGCTTCAGATACGACAGTTCAAACACTAAGGCAAGTGGCGTCATCAACTTGTTGTGCAGCTCTGCCTTGAAGAACCAGCGCAAACGTGACGAAGGTGGTCATCTCACAGAGCATGAAAGGGGCAGATGGGGCGAAAAGCTGGTTTGCGGAGGAAGCTAGAGAGGGCCTGGTGCCTTGGCGGTAGCAGTTTGACGTTTTGGAGTTTGGGAGTTGAGAGGGAGGACCAGACGAAGATCCTTGCGCCCACAGCCCGAGATGACGGAAATGGGACGACGGAATGATCATGCCCCCGCAGCCGTGAACGCCAACATGTATGCATCGGCGATCATTTTTTATCGTAGTCAGATCGACCGGTGCCTGTCTATGAGTTGATCTTTGCAGCGCTGCATTGACCGGGTTCTTCACCCATATCTCCAATAATGCTGCGATGCCGACCGACGGTGATGGATTTGAGGCCATCTGGCGTGTCGCGGGTCAATTGAATGGCCTATACTGCTGTCGTCTTCCCGTAGTGCGTACTACAATCGCATTGAAAGCTGGCGTGGTGAAAGGTTGATCGATCAATCGCATCTCTCGGCCAAAACTTTTGGCAGTTGCACTTCAGAGAGTTCAAGGGCAACTGGGCAAGTGCAACGGCAGCTCTTGGCAGTTGGACTTGGCGGGGCGCCAGTGTCGGGGACCATCGCCTGCCCCACCATCCATGACGCGCCCTTATTGGCCAATCCCTCCTGGTTCTCGAATTTTACTGGCTTAACGTTGCAGATTTCCAAAATCCAGACCACCAACCTTTGCCGCTGCTTCAACGTCGACTTGCTTGGCCCAATTTCCATGACAAACAACCACACAGATCCCCGTCTTCTTCTCCACAGCAAGTCGAATGGCAGCGCCGGCATGAAACCGCTCTCGGCTCGACATGCTCTCCTCCGTCTCAAGGTCTTCGCAACGCGCGTCCAATCCAGACGAATGCAACAGCGGCGCGTTTCGGCGCACCCGGCCTCTCCCAGCTACGCGTCCACGTCGATCCACTGCCGACAGCCACGCCGCCCGCCGACTGGTGCAGAACCGCAGATCGAGAGCTAATTTTAAGCTGATGAACGCCCGAGCACGTCCTGACTGTCAGACTTTGGACGACATTATTCCCATCTCCCTACGGAGCACACTAGCTTCGTCATGGACAGGCTTCTAGAAGCTCGGCGTCGCCCAGGGGGTGCCTGGCTGACGATGCCTCCCCAACGACTAATTGAATAATTATTTCCATACTTACCCAAAATTTGCCTCCCCACCAGTTTCCTGTTTTGCTTTCTCTCTTCTGTCCTTCTTGCTATGTGATGCTGGCATTCGTATCATTGGCCCACCTTGTTTATTCTGTTTCCATTTTTTGGTGCCTTCTCTTCGACAGTCTGCCCAGGTGGCCATTGCAATTTAATACCCCTTATATTCTAATATGTCGGCACAATCATGCCCCGTCTCCGGCATGGCTGGCCGTCAGGGACGCCAGTGTCCCGTGGGCTCAGTCGCCGGTGGGAGTCGATCAAGTAGCCGTATGGGCCCTCGAGGATGTGCATTCTCTGGGTCCTGCCAGCCTGGCGACATTCATGCCGCCTTTGATGTCAGTGCTGCCACGAAAAACCAGACAACTTGTGCTCCTCTTGCTGACAGTAGCCTAGATACCGAGAGGAGTTGATGCAGAAGAGTGGTTGCGGATGAGGTCTGTACCTCATTTGGAGCGGTGCAATGATTGAAGTCAGGGCCAACGCTGATATCGGATCATAGGGAACGCAAGTCCATCAACGACATCCTCTACTCCAACATGCCCTCGGTGCGCGAGATCAACGCCACGAAGGATTTCGATTCCCTCAACGCCTCCGAGCAAGACCTCCTTGCCGTTGCCCTCGGAGCTCCCGCTCGCCAAGTCATGATCCGAGCAGAAGAGATTGGCCAAGCGACGGGCTGGAAGGATGGTTATCTCAGCGCCGAACATGGGTTTTGCCCAGTCGACTACAACGAGTCTCCCGGAGCCCTCGCCAACTCGCCGGGGAGGATATGGTCGGACTTCTGCGAGCGGATGCCGGGCTGTACTGCCAGAGGTCGGGTGCGCGAGTCCATTGCCGCTCTGCCTCTCGTCCAAGGAACCGAGGATGTCATCCCGGACCGTGCGTTGTGGGCTGCAGTTGTCGCCCTGGGCATCATCTGTTCCATCTATCGATACGAGGAGAAGCATGATGGAAACGAGGGAGTCTCCGTCAACCCCTCGACTTTCAAACCCACCTGCGAGATGGGAGATGACCTTGGTGAGGAGTTCGTTGGCATCCCCCGGTGTGTGGCTATTCCGTACTTCCAGGTGTCCAGACGGCTTGGGAGACCGATTCCACATCTCACCTTTGTCGATCAGTCCTCCTACAACGTCAAGATCAAAGACCCTACATCGACGTATCCCTATATCGGCCGCTTCGACAATATGGAGATGCTCTGGCCTGTATTTGGCGAAAGAACGGACATCGCGTTTTTGAAGGGCTGCGCAGATACGTCCGCATCTTTCCAACATGGTGCCGATGCAATCGCGAGCTGCCAGGAGCACGTCATGAACCGCAACGTCGAAGGTCTTCTGCGGGAGATGATCCGGCTTAAAGAAATCCTCGAGCGCATGCCCAACGCCTTCCACACAATCAATCCCAACCCCAACTCCGGCGAGAACTATGTCTCGGGCCACCAGTGGGTACGGTGGGCCAAGTTCTCTGCTCCGCTGAGCAAGCGGTGCCCGGCCTCTTCTGGTCTTCAATTTCCACCATTTCTCGTAATGGATGCTTTCCTTGGTCGCAAGAAGTACGCCTCTTTTCTCGGTGCTGAGGGCCTTCATCTGCGAGCCTGGCTGCCTTCCAACCATAGGGCCTTCATCGCCGCCATCGAGTACCATTACCGCATCCCTGAATTTGTCCAGCAATCAGGTGACCCTCGTTTGATGGGTGTGCTCGACGGCATTGTCGAGGCCTACACGGGCGAACGAGGCTTCATGGGAACGCACCGCTACAAGGTCTTTGGGCTTCTTGAAATCGCCGGCAAGACCGGTCGATCCGAGACCAACGGTTTATCCGGAGCGCCAGACGCAAATACCAGGCCGTGGGAGGAGACGCACAAGCAGTTCTCGGAGGCCATGAAGGAACGCCTGGAACCTTACCGTGGAAACATCTCAGTTGAGCCTCACGAAATGCGAGGCACTTTCGAAGAGTGCCGGTACCGAGCGCGAGTTCTCAGCCGCTCTTTTATCGACGCAGACCCGAACCGATCGATCGCCATGGTTACGCTCGGCATTCATAATACCGGCATCACTTTTCAGCCGGGCGATCGACTTGCCATCATGCCGCTGAATAGCTGGGCAGAATGTGCCAAGGTTGCTGCTGCTCTAGGCTTGGCCGACTATCTCGATTACAGGGTTGCCCTGACACCGAAATGGGAGCGCTTTGGCCAGCATCTCGGATCCGTATCGCACACTTCCACCCCTCAACTAACGGTCAAGGATATCCTGAGACGAGGTCATCTCTCTCCCATCACAAAGGAGCTCGCCCTCAAAGTCCACGACCTGCTTCGCGCCTCTTCGAATACCGTCCTCCGCGTCCTTGCCACCAACGAGTGGCCTGTTTGGGGCTCACTTGGAGACCTCCTCCAGGGCGCTGTCACCGATACTAACCCGCACATATGGGACCGGGCGTTTGACCTCACAGGAGACTTCGCGTGGCTGGCGGATCTGATTCCCGTCGAAGTCCCGAGGACCTACTCAATCTCCACACATTCCCAGGAGCTGCTTCCATCGACCGTTGACTTGACGATCTCTCGAGCAGAATACAAGGTCTCCTCCATCCTTTCCCAGAACGACGATATTTGCGCCGGCGTTGCAAGCGGATATCTGAATCCTTTTGTTTCGTCAAATGAGGAACTAATTGAGTCTGAAGAGGACCTCCTGATTGGAGTATCTCGGCCGCTCAACTTCCAACTGCCACTCGAGCGTACCGCGCCATGTGCTTACTTTGCTGGCGGCAGTGGTATCGCACCGTTCCGAAGTTTCTGGCAGGCAAGACTGAATTCACGCAACAGCGCCGCTGGGAGAGATGTCCTTTATCTTGGAGTGCAGTCCAGAGAAAAGTTCTGCTACGAGGAGGAGCTTCGGGACTACGTCGAAGCCGGTCTGATGGAAGTCCACCTTGCCTTCTCGCGCGATAACCGGGGCCTGGTATACGATAGGAGAGCGCAGGACCTCGTCGAGAAGGAGATGCCACCTCGCTACATTGACGCCCTGATCGTCGAGCAAGGTGCCAGCATATCTGAGCTCGTCATGTCCAAAAAGCAGGGCGGCCTTGGCGGCTACATCTATGTTTGCGGCTCCGTTGCAGTGTTTGACTCGGTCATGAACGGCATTCGTAAGGCCATTTATAACTACTGCAGCGCGACCATGGAGACGTCTGAGATGATCATCAATAAG